AAATAATATATATATTTTTTATTTTTAACTCTCAACCCCTTAAAACTAAAAACAAAAGAGAGAGGTCCATGTTTTAAATATTCATACTTTTGTATCAATAGCACATATATCTATACTTGTATTTTAGTATTTTAGCCCTATAATAAATAATTCATGCATATACAACAACCCAATGCCTGAAATACATCAACTCATCATTCAAATAATTTAATGCAAGTATAATAAAAAAAAATGCAATCCTAATTGACAAGTATCATCATAAATTACACATTAATCTAAATAAAAAGAGGTTGTACAGTAGGAATATTGAATCCCTAAGCCTCAGAAGCTTTCCCTTTATCCACATCAAAGCTAAAACTTGTAAAAGGTTAAGAGAGAGGGGTGAGTTTTACTACTCAATAACTAAGGTTCATCTATCATATGCAGTCTCATATTCATTGATTAAAAATATGCATGTATACATCAATAAATTATTTTGCATTATATTCTCTTTTAGCTTATATCACTATCACAATAATCATTTGTTTTAAATCATCACAAATGCACATCATCACAATCATAATAACCATGTGGCAATAGCACCACCACAATAACAATTGCATATTGTCACGATAATAACAATTTTATGATAATAGCACAATCAAATATCATGACTTGTCACAAACTTAGCAATCATATGACACATCAGGTAATATGCATGATCAAACTAACTTTATGTTCTCCTTATACCTTTCGACTAAAATCATGGGCTATAAATCAAATGAAGCTCTATCCATGTAAATGGATTACCCAAGCTTACCAACTGTGAGGAGCAATCCGGCTACAAATTGCTACACTCACTCTTAGACCACGATTTCTCTCAATCTCAAATCTCTAGAGTAATGTAAACCCTAAGTTAATCTTCTCGACAAACAGGTTATGTTAGTTAAGTTTGAATCCTTCGACAAACAATAGGATAAGACTAGCCTTTAGATACTGAAAGGTGGCCATATAATACTACATGAATTTATCTATTCCATTTCCTAAGTAAACTCTCGCCAAACAATCAAGCAATCAGTCCATGCTCATGCATTCAACATGTTCTCATATACAACAATAAGCCCATCGATTTCAATTACAGTCAACAAGCTTTCACATGTGAGCATGACATAGAATTTCATACCATCACATCACATAGAATCACTTATCCTCATATCAAATTTTCAATTCTTAAACCATTACATTTCAACATTCACATTACCAATATCTCATAGTTACTAAATTCATATTATCATATGTACATGCATATAACTTTGCTTAATCAAATTAAAACATGTTCTTCACATCACTTAAACAATACTTGAAAACATGCACACATTTGGCTCATATATTCACTATTCATTGATTAACAAAAGTTCATTAGGTATTCTTGCCAAACATGAAATAGGATTAATCATTAATGATAAATATATCATTTCATAAATTTATAACAATTAACATACAACTATATAAAATAGATTTCTCTCAATTACTTTAAACCTTTAGGTTCTCAAAGGTTTACCCCTCACGTAAATGCTTTCAAGCTTACTCTCAAGCCAAAATGGTACATAGAATGATTAATTTACAATTAATCAATCCCACAATCATCAACGTCACTATTTACACAATCAAGCTCTTTGTTGCAACATTTTAAATATCCCAAAACCCTTATCCAAAAAAAAAATTCTGAAGCTCTTATCTCCAGCATTTAGGCTTATCCATTAGGTATATTAACTTCCTTTAACTCACATTAACTCCATTAAACATTCTACTCACCATTAATGATCTTCAACAACCTCCCAACATCACATTTAGTGCTCTAAATTCAAACATAAATGCTCTCCAACTATCAAAAATGTGCACAAGACTTTAAACTTGGTTTAAACAACCCAATCAACTTTTATTAATTCTATCTAAATTAATGGGTTCAAACATGTTGAATATTATAAATATTTTTTAGTATTTCAAAAGGAATAATTATAAATTAATAATATTAATTATTATTTAACTCTATTTATTATTTTATAACATATAATTTAAACAACATTATTATTTGAAATCATTTTTTAATTGTGATTAAGGTGGTTTTATTGCCCAGCATTATGAGATCTGCCTGTAAAAGGCAATGCTTGCCACAAGTTTAAAAAGAGCCTTGGTACTCTTGGCTTTTCTCTCCTTTTCTATCATACTAGTTTATTGTACAGTTACCTGAGTATATTCTGTGAGTTTCTATTATTCTGTGTCCCTACTTCTAGTATGAAGAGTCTGTTTAATCCTAGGGAGCTGTCGTGCAATCAACCCGGTGTGGCGGAATAGCTTTTAAGGACAGTGTCCTTGGGCACGACTCAAACTAGATTTCACCATTGCTAACAATCTTAAGAGCTACTAACTAGATGACGAGCCTCGGATGATGGTTATTTGCTTCTATGGTTAATGGGATCCTTTTTGGCATATGATATCAAAGGAAATTTAGAATTCTCTTTCTGAATATGCTGGAAGTCGAGGCACTCAGCTCACTAAGAGTAAGCATATTGGGAATTGTGTGAATTGAGTGGAGGTTTTTCCGTGGCGGCAGGCTGGTGGCCCCTAGCCCCTGGACTTTGGTCCTATATTTACATCTTCAGAAGCCCTTTGTGGCAATTGTAGTGATTGGAAGACGACAGATATGGGATCCTATTCTATTTCAGAGATAATAGATGTGCTCTTATTGAACATGCTTTTTCCCGACCTCATTTTATGGTAATGCAGCTTGGTTTTCTGCTACATACAGGTATGCATATGAACTATAATTTTGCCAATGATTCTAGTGATGAGTGGACGTGTATGAGTATGTATACATTTATTTGTGCAGTTTGTTAGTTTAAGGTGAGAATTGCTTGATGAGAAAAGAAATTCTCTCCATGTGCTAATTTAAAAGGCAAAGTAATATTTGTCACTAATTAGCCTAATCAATTTGATGCTTTATATGCAATTTTTTGTTCAACGATCAAGGTTTTATTTGGCAGTTAATGGCATTTATAGCATTAAAGAATTTGTATGGCTCGCGTGGAATTTTTTAAGGAAAAAAGATTGTGAACGAATTCCTTCAAATTATATTTATGGCTAAACATTTTAATGTTCAGTAGGGAGTTTATTTTTTTTGGCACGCGAATGATGAGAATTTATTTAAATCATTTGCTTGTCAGTTGTTTGAAAATGTTGGAATTAAAGCTTGATCCTTAATGTTTTTGTTATGTTGATTGGCAGAAGTTGCAATCTTTCATGATAATATACTCAATATATGTCGTTTAGTGGGATTAACTTTTTTTGTGAATTAAATATTTGTAATTAAGTGAATGTTATTTACCACTGAGGATTATGATTCCCTAATTATGATACATTTTGATTATTTAGAAATTAATGTGGTGTTTATTGTATTTGAAAAGTGTATGAATTATTATAAAGTGGTTACATGATAATTTTCAACACTTATTGATATTTTGTCTGAAGCATAAATGGTATTGTGAGATTAAATTGCAAATTACGGGCTTTGTTTGGAGATGGCAAATATGCCTCCTCTCTCGAAAAGGAAAAGAAAATTTACATTAATTTTTTATTGAGACAATTCATTTATGTACACTTTGAGGTCATGAAACTGATGGTAGTATTTCTATGGGTGTCCTATTTTGTTTATGTTTGGATAAGTATACTTTTATATCAAATGTTGGACAATAATATGCAATTATCATATGTGTGGTAACAGTTGTTTGGATTAAAGGAAAATTAAATGTCCACTAATCTAAATTTTTTGAGACTAGTGTCTAATTGATAAATTGACACATATGTTTAACTTCCAATTACTTGGGGACACATAATTTGATAAATTGCGCCACTTGAAATATATTATTTCAAGTTATGGAGTTTACATTTAGTATTTAATGCATTCAATATTCTTGGCTACAAATGGCACGTTGCTTTCATAATATTACACGACAAGTATAACATATCATGATAGCATGTGTGAAAGTCACACACACACACATATATATGGTAGATTGGTATGTCATGTTCATTGATATACAAATAATTTTTATTTTTTATTGTGCCTCATCCTCGAGTTTTAACATGTCTGGATTATGTGTTAATAACCAAATTGTGGGGCTATGTGCATGGGTTTATGCATGGTGAGTTTAAATTATGAGAAATTTTAATTTAATTAGAATGGTAGGAGATTATATGATAAGATTCTAATTTAATTAGAATTATTGTTGTTAAGGCATGAAAAATATTTTTCATGTAATTAAAGTATCTGAAAGTGTGGGGGTGCCTAATGTATGGAGTTTGTTGCAAAAATGTGTTGTGCCAAAATATTAGTCTGTTTAGAGAAAAATTATGTGGAGACTTTATGACTTGCATAAATGCTAAAAAAAAATTGTGATCTATCAAGGTGGTGGCACAAAAGTTAATCATTTGTCTAGTATAGATAAATGAATTTTGAAATAGGCGCATGACCTATTTAATAATATATCTTAGCAGGAGTATTCATTGTTGTAAATAATGATCTGTGTTATGATCTCATGAGATAACTAATTTTTTAAAATATGGAATTGAGAATAGTGGATTTCCACTATATAAAATACGTGAATGTTTACTGAGTTATAAATTTGTGTGAGAAAATTCACTAGTGATTATCCACTCTTGGTAGTGATGATATCAAAATATAATGATAGGACTATGGTAAAGTGTAACACACCAAAAATTTTTTTTTTAATAATTTAATTCAACCATAGTTGGGTTACAGCCACCCAACACATTTTTATATCAATAATTTCGATATAAAATATTTTATAATTGGCTTCAACTCACACACTATAACATTTCAGATAAATTTTTACCTCCCACATGCCATTAGGCTAAATCACATTTGTCCATCCTTATACTCCCAACAAGTAAACTAAATCACATTTGTCCATCCTTATACTCCCAACAAGTAAAATAAGCAATTTAGTCAATTTTCAACACAAGCCAGTTATTTGGCCTTATAATCATGCCATTTTAACCAATCCAAAGTAAACCAAATATTAAAATTACAGTCATCCAAATTGTACCAAAAATAGAAATAGTTTGAAAGGCATGATTACATTTATATATTCATATAATTGACAATAAACATAAAAAAGTCCTAATATTGGCAATATAACACATTATAAATCATAAATTAAATACCCAAAAGAGACAGTGGATCTATACCACTAAGCCTCTGGGACTCCTCCACGTGTCACTCTTGGCTCTTCTCCTGAAAATTGTTAACCACATAATGAGACTCAAAAGTCCCAGTAACCAAAGCCAATTTATGATAGTGTATACAAACAGTTAAGTGTGTGCTTACTAAGTGAGAATTAAAAATAATATAATTCCAACAAATATATGAAATATTACAATACACACAAACAACCATCCTTATATCCCTCCATTAACCTCGAGCCGTAGCCCTCACTCGGTGCTAAATTACCCGGCCAAAGGTAGATTAGCCCGAGCCCTTACAAACCACCTATTGAGCTCCAATAGGGGCATACCACGTGGCACATAAATACAACAATAATAGCAAATCTCCCAACACCTCCCACAATAATCAAATAAATTTATAATAATATTGCACAATTATATAATATTACAAAATTTATAATTTTCTCAATAATCACCCAATTAACAAGAAGTAACACTAATTATAAATTAAAAGCATGGTTACCTTGTGGCTTTTTCAATAAATTATTCCTTAAAATTTCTCTCTCACCACAATCTTCACCAGTAATACAATCTACAAATAACATATTATTTATAAATATTAGTTTCAATTTTTGAAACTAATAAAATAATTCTAATAATAGAATTAAAAATATAACATAATTCCTAATCTCAATCTTAATACAAATCTATAGTTAATACTATTAAGTATAATTTTTAACTCCTCTTTTAATTATCAATAAACATTAATAATCTAAAAATCAACTTCTAAACTAATTTTTATTATCAAAATTTTTCTTTTTATTTCATAAATTCGTACCTAAAATACCCAAAAAATTAAAAATTAAATCTCTAGCTTAGAATCATAATCCTATAGCCATAAGAATTCATTTCTCATCCTAAATAATCATCTAAACCTCAATAAATCAACATATATTTTCAGATCTAGTCTAGAATTTGATCCATAAGCCATAAATTCAAAGATCATTAACAAATTTATACTCTATAACATTTATTATACTACTGACAACCTCAAAAACCATATTTATTCAACATAAATTCATCCCTCTTCCAGATCTTAAATTTTCTACCACTACAAACTCAGAAACTAAAGAAGAAGGATGACTAAGAAAAATTTTTAGAACACTTACTTAGTCTTAAAAAGCTTAAAATCACACCCTAAATATCCTATTAAAAACTCTTACCTTAAAAATTTAGATATTTCGCACTGGTGACTCGCGTTCTCTCCGCCTCAGTTCGCGCGCAGGAATGAATGAGGAAATGAAGGAAGGTGAGTTTTTATAAAAATTCAGTGGGTCCCACATTTTTTTTAAATTATTTTCTCTCTCTTCTTCTTCTTCTTTTTTATTATTATTTTATTATTGTCACTGTTGAGGCGGCGGACGAAGCAAATTCGTTTTCTTCTTCTTCTTCCTTTCTTTCTTGTTTTTACACCTTTTTTTATTATTATAATAATATTATTTTTTTATTTTTTTTATTTTTTTTTAAATTTTCTATTAACCCAAATTAACTATTAAAATTTATATTGGGATGTTACATAAAGTCTAAGCTCATTAATTTAAAACTAGATTGAAGGCTAAGTTGCTAAAGATTATCTAAGCAATTATTTTGTTGTGTAAAACTAACACATAGTGTTGATGAATTCTTATAAGGTTGATATGTCATTTAAAAAAAATGATACATTTTTGTTGCTTAATTTGTGTATGCACAAATTTGTGAGAGTTTGTTGCATTAATAAGTGTTAATCCCATAACATACGTTGTATGGAGATTAAGTCTCATAAGAGCATGAGACAAATGAGTATTTGAGGGATACCATAAATGGTGGTATCATGTATAATAGATTTCCATTGTATTAAGACAATACAATGATGTTGACTGAATTTTATATTCAAATGAAGAAAAATCTATTAGTAGCCAAATAAAATATTATTTGAGTCAAAGTTTATTACTCTGAAGTTGGCTAATAATGAGGCTAAGTGGTTGAGAAACTTCTTAGCGAATAATACTGCATTGAGGGTAAAACCGACACACATTATGTTGATGATTTATAATTGCTAAATGGCAATAGTCATTGCAAAGAGAATAATGACATAGGTAAATATCATTTGAGATACAATTAAGCATGCTAAAAAAGGGAGTTATCTCAATCAATTATATGAGATCAGATGTAAATCTGATAGATCTATTAACTAGCCCTTGGGAAGAATTTTAATTATTCAAATGTCGAGGGGAATGGGACTTAAGCCAATTTGAAATTAACAGTGATGGCAACCCAACCTTTATGATTGGAGATCCCATGAAGAAGGTTCAATGGGTAAGAACAAGTCACTTGTTAGTTCTGCTAGCACTAAATTTTTTGTCCCTTCCTATAGCTTCAGAAAGTGCTAGAATGCATTGATCGAAGGCTGAGCAAAAGCTCTTAATGTTTTTCATAGTCCTTGTGAATGGTGTATTCATTGCAAATACACTTGATGAAAACACCTATACAAATGTGGAGTGGGGCCGCTCCTATGAGATCGTGGTGAAATCTCTAAAGCATTTGTTAAAACCAGGCACGCACATGGCCGATAATGTGTAAAACTGCGTTAACAACGAAAATTGTAGGGTATAATGCAACTAATAAAACCTCTAGCACACGACCAAGATCTGTTGGTTCAATAACAAAGTTACACTGACTTTTCTGTATGTTAAGTTTTATTAGTCTAGGTTTGGTTCAAGTGAAAGACACTAAATTCGAAATGATTATCTTCCGTGAAAATAACTCAGATGATAGTGGTCCTTTTGACACATGTGGGAATTGTTGCAATTATATTAAAAAGGAAAGTCCCATGTTGCTCAAATGAATGAAGGCCTTAGTTTATGTATACTAAGGTATAAGCTTGGGCAAGTAAATGGGCTTAAAGGAAAAGTGAGCTAAATGTGGTATCAAATAGATTGGGCATGTTTTCTAAGGTTTTGAAAACTATTATGTGGAGTTATAAATTATGTTCAAGAAAATTTTTCTTCCTTCTGAAATATGTGGGGGATTGTTGAATATTATAAATATTTTTTAGTATTTCAAAAGGAATAATTATAAATTAATAATATTAATTATTATTTAACTCTATTTATTATTTTATAACATATAATTTAAACAACATTATTATTTGAAACCGTTTTTTAATTGCGATTAAGGTGGTTTTATTGTCCAGCAATATGAGATCTGCCTATAAAAGGCAATGCTTGCCACAAGTTTAAAAAGAGCCTTGGTACTCTTGGCTTTTCTCTTCTTTTCTATCATACTAGTTCATTATGCAGTTACTTGAGTATATTCTGTGAGTTTCTGTTGTTCTGTGTCCCTACTTCTAGTAGGAAGAGTCTGTTTAATCCTGGAGAGCTGCCGTGCAATCAACCCAGTGTGGCGGAATAGCTCTTAAGGACAGTGTCCTTAGACACGACTCAAATTAGATTTCACCATTGCTAACATAACATATAGCTCATATGGTCTGAAAGCAAGCCTTAACCTTTAAATTTGTCAAAAAAGGAAGAGAAAGGAAAATTAAGGATTGAGAAACTTACCTCAACTTATTGGAAGCTCCAAAACACTCTTAAAGTTTTGAGTTTTCAAGCCCTAGCAGAACTCTTGGTATTCTCCTTCATCCTCTCACTCAAACCTCTTTTCTCTCTTTGTTTTTCTAGTTGAAATCATGCTCTTATTTCTTCTAAATTTTGCCTATAGGCCGTGGTCCATGCCACATGCCACATACACTGAGGCATATGGTATATAGAGATCTCTTAATGTTTTTTTAACTTAATGCATTGTGGCACATATAACATACATCGCAGCATGTGGTATATAACCACATTTCTTTATTTTTCTTCCCTTTTGAGGTGCAGTGATCTAACTTCACTTCAAACTTAAACTTAAAATTGAAATTACAACCCAACATATTCATTAGTCTTTTTTGACTATACATCACATTAAGTTACTAAATTATCCTCATTTAATTTAATTAATTAGAGTTAAATTTTTAAAATGTCACGTATTATCAACTTTTCTCGATGCATATATATATATATATATATATAAAAATTTTTTTGAAAAAATTCAAGTCTGCCACGTGAGTTTCCATTCCACCACGCCACACGCAAACACCCAATCTCGAGTCTCAGCCACTCTCATTCTTCTTCACAGATCGCAATGTGAAAGAAACCCCTCGCTCAATTACCCTTTGTCCCTTAGTGTGCCGCCACCGCCTCCTCCTTCCTCTACTCCTTTGTCGTGCTGCTCTGATGTGAAATCAGAAGGGGAACATGGTGACCTCGCTACCCACGCCGTTGAGTCCCTACCATCGAGGTCGTCGTTTACAGAAAACCCTTGTGCTTGACTGCTCTTCTCCAATCTGCATCTTCATCGGCACTTGAAGTTGACGCCTCCCTCCTCCTCTTCTACTCCTTCGTCTGTCCACCATGGCTGTCTGATTTGAAATCACTAGGATAGCGTCGTCACTGTTTCTGCAAGAGTCCTGTCTGTCGCTGTTGTTGCTTCCCTTCTTGTCGTGGCACTCTAACCTGAAGCATGGACACATAATTCTTGCTCCACTGTCCAAGTTCTTCTTGTTCATTGTTCCTCCAGCCTTGCTGCACAACTTCATCTTTTGAAGTTTGAACTTGGTCTGTTTCGTTAGTTCTTTGTATTGTTGCTATCTAAAATCCTTCCTTCTCTCTATTTGTCTCTCTCTTCAGTTTTGATTCCTTCAATTCATTTCTTCTAATATGTATTTATGAATTTTAGTTTAATTGTTGAATATATTCAATTAATGTGGTTGGGTTATGGGTACTTCTTTCATTCTTGATCATGATTTGGGAAAAAAAATTGATAAAATTTTGGTCTTGATAACTTCCAGAGATTGAAATTTAATTAATGTTTTGAAATACGAAGGAGTTTCAAATTATGGTTATTGTGCATTGATTATTTCTTGGAATGGGTTTTTCTTAGGCGGAAATTTCTTGGAATAGTTTCAAATCTAAGTATAATGTTTTTTTTTTTCTAGTTGAAATTTGTCAATTTAATGCTTAGATAGAATATAAAGAAAACATCTTGTAGGCTTACAATTCTTTTACTTTATTCTTCTTCTTTTTTTTTTTTTTCAACTCCTTCCCATTTTTTCTTTAAAAAGGGGCATTCATGAAAAAGAACGATGCCAACATATTTGAACATGCCCAGATTAGACCAACTCGTTTCAGAATGGGCCAAAATGAGTTGTGCATGGGTATGGGCTGGGCCAATCTGTTTTGAAGAAAATAGGACGGGCTCCAGGCAATCCTTCGAGCTAGGCCGGCCCACTAGCTACACAACTCTAAGTGTAAGACCACAAAGTGGCAACTTCAAAGTCTCTGGTAAAAAAGCCGCATTATTATTCCCCGTAATGTTAAAAACAGTTCTTTTTTTTTTTGGTCGGAAAATGGCTGCATGTTATACGAAAGATTTCATACTGAAATATTCAAATTTTGAAAATTATACTGGAAGATTCAAACATTAATCTAAGCGAAAATTACTGACTGGCAGTGTCCCTTGCAATCGCACCGGCCACCAAGAGGTTGACTTTTCTCTTTTTAAAAATAATGTAAGAAAATAAAAATAACAACAAACTACAGGGATAGAAGCGGATTTATTATTTTAACAATCAAGGTTTTTTCATTTGCGATAGCAACGTACAGGGATGGAAGCATATTTTTCTAAGATGCTGGGAGGGCCTTGCTTGTTAAACCTGTTAATGATATTCCAAGTTTGTGGGACATTTGTTTTATCTATTTTGTCAAGTATATGAATTTAATTTTATTTGAAAATATACAATAGTAATTCATATTGCCCTATTAAGTCAGTGATATACTAGTAACTTGGATGATGCCTTTAAGGCGTTTATCAACAGCCAACTCTCCAAATATGTTATAATATAAATAACATCATCCAACTTTTCATCCAATCATAGTGTTCCGAGTAAATTCAACAGCTAACACCAGTCTATTCATCTATATTGCTTTTTCTAAGCTCAAACGTTCAAAACCGGCACATAATAAATTGGCAGAAACTTGTATCGTTCGACCGGTCAAAAGAATTCCATTTTGATAATCTCAGAACTTTTTCACATGAACAAGTGCACCCTGCCTTGCTCCGGATTCAAGCATAGCCTCTAAGACACCAACATCTCTGGCACCTTCGATGAAAGAGAGGCGGGGTTCAGCTTCAAACTGATTTTCCTTCTACGTAAACGAAATAAATCAGACTAAACTATCGCTCCTTGCTAAGGATTTAAAAATAAATAAATAAAACATTATTGATTACATACGTGCATGGAATCATGAACAATGAAGTTGCCTGAATCAACTGTCCAGGAATGTTGACATAACTAAGTGCATGTTTGATATTCGAAAAAGTATTTTCTAGAAAGGAAAAGGAGAATGCATCTAAAAAGAAAAGGAGATAGATGTATTGATCATTTCCTTTTTAAAAAACACTTTTTTATCCACTAAAACATTGCATAAAAAAAAGAAAATCCTATTCTAGGATCATAAAGAAACTTTAAGTTGTTGTGTAGTAATCTAAAAAAGTTATTGCCAACCATCCTTGATAGCCGATAACATTTAGCGGAGAATATAGAATCAATAGAATCTCAAATGTCTTGCTAAAATTATTAGGAAAAATGAAACACTAGAAATAAGAATCCAAATTTGGGAAGGTGGAAGCATTGGTGAGAATCCAAATTACCTTAAGGGTGCTCCGAGAAACATCACTTATAAAAGCTTTAAATTCTTCAGTCACTCCACTGAATGGGAAGAATGAGCTTTTGCTTTGCCCATCAGTACCATAAAATGTAATCTGTCATATCATTATGAAATGAAATCAATGAAGATAGCTGACGACCTAGACAAAAAATAATTTGCAACTTCAATCTAGATGACGAGACAGATCATGCTCGAAGATTTTAATTTTTCATGAAATCCAGTTACCAAAACTAAAGGTAACTCTGCAGGCATACCAGGTAGCCGTGTCGTCCTTGAAATCCACGCTCAATTTGCACAGTTCCGTTGATGCCAACAACTCTCCATAATATCTAAAGGCATTAAATAAACTGCATTTTGTTAGAAGATTACATGTTCTCATGACGGGCATATCTAGTGTCTCTCATTTGTGTGCATGCGAGATGAATTATCGTTTAACACATGCCTTGGGCGATCTTGAGGAGACAACCATTACAAATACTCCTGAACATCCATTCTCCAGATGACTGGCACAACATGCTAGATCTTAGATTTCCAGTTGTATCAGGTAAAGCTAACAACATGAAATAGAGACTTACAAAACACATGATATATTGTCTGGTGGAGGTAAGGTCGCATCCACGTGAGATGTCATAGCTGAAACTGAAAGTACCTCACAGCCAACAAGCTGCAGACAATATGGCAGACAATAATAATCGTATTTATGCAGAGTTTCGTAAAATAAAATTTTTGAGATTACCATTCTCAATCCCGCTACATAATGCACGCCCATATCAAGAATGAAACCTCCCTGCCAGGGAAAAAATAATACCCACTTCAATAATAATCCGATATGCTAATAAAAAGAGCAGGCAACAACAAATTCCAATAATTTTCTCTAATCTAGAACAGCCTCAGAAAGAGTTAAGTAGGAACCAATTTCTCCTTACTTAGTGAGTCATGCCATATGCTGAAAAAAAGAATACCACTTCGCTTCAGGAATACCACTTAGTTTAATAAGATTACACAGGAATAATCTGATGCACTAATTACAAGAGCAAGCAACAATGAATTCCCTTGATTTTTCTACAATCGCTTGCAGCCACAAAAAGTTAAGTGGGAAAGAATTTCTCCCTACTTAATGAGTTATGGTATATACTAAATTGACACTTGAGATAAAGGAAATGGATCTCAATCCTAATCATTACTGGATCTCAATCCTAATCATTACTATCATACCGTCAACTATGTGACTGTTAGGCATCACATAATAGCAGTCAAAGGTACAGTTTATTGAAGTGATCAAGATTCCAGAGTACAGTTGTGATGTAACACACTCACAACACTTGCACAGTGCTGGACAGAGGGAGAGAATAGAGAAAACCAGAAATAAAGAGAGAGAAATGAAGAAGATGAAGAACAGAATAGGGGAGAGTCAGGGAGAGAGACAGACGTACAGGGAGAGAGGAAGGGATTCAAAGACTCAACCACAATATTTCATTCATCAAGTGTCCCTTTACAAGGGCAAAGCCTAATCTATTTAAACTAAACTTTCTTACCTACTAAGGAAACCTTAATAACTTGGCTAGATAAAGCTAATGTTCAGATTTCCCTCTTTACAAAAGTATTAAAATAACACAAAAGTAACTTACTTCTTCCTAGATAGGTTTCTTACAAGCAACATACAATGATAATAAGCTACTAGCCTAGGTTTCTTCCTATAAGAGGTTTCTTCAAAATACATTAATTCTTATATTTTGATAGGTACCTAAGTAGGATGGGGAACCCTACCTCAAAAGCTAGCTGTTGAAGTGGGAGAACCAACCCACTTATATACCCCATTGAGCATCTCATACTACTCAATGTGGGACTTGGTATCCCATACTACCAAGTCTCTATCAATTGGCCCCCCATGGAAAGCCGACATCCTGATGGCTACACTCCACAGCATTTAACTCGGTCTCCTTCCAGTCAGAACCCTCTGCGGGTAGCCCTTTCCGGAACTGCTGACAACAAGGCTCTGATACCAATTGATAGAGCCCTGCTCTATATTAATTACTTTCAACAGAACTTAAATGCAAGAAGGAAATAAATGAGGGAAATTCTGAGGTTTTTGATATTAGACTTAGAAACCGAATCAATGTTACAAAAGAGAAACTCACTGATTCTGGCCAAAAACCCTATTCCTTATGGATGAAAATTACAACAAAAGAAATAACACAGCAATAAGAACACAACCTCTCACTAGTGTTTGAGAGACCAGCACTCTCCTTCCTTCTGACTAGCTTCTCACAACATTCTTGAGTGCTCCCCAAAACAGCACAACAAAATAAGAAAGCAAAAAGGTGACCCACGTATCTAGACTGAATCTAAGCCACCTTACCATACATCATGACTTAATCCTTAATTTCTGGACCCTAAGGATATTAACTTTGATCCATTGGGCATTTCTTTTCTCCACCCACTTGCCCCTAGATCTCCTCTTGTAAGTCTGACCATATCTCAAGGTTACATCATTACCCTCCTCTAAGAGTTTCACCTTGTCCTCAAGGGGAAAATCTGGAAATTGTTGGGAGATGGTGTCAGCTGTCTCCCATGAGTTCTCAAACTCGGGCAAGTCTTTCCATTTCACTAGAACCTCCAGCTGGCCTGTCATAAGCTTCCGAACTTTGCATATGTCTTGAGGTTGCACCTGTAACTCTAATTCTGCAGAAAGGGCTGGTGGTATTGTAGGAGTGACAATAGCCGAACAAACTGAGTTTTTGAGTTGAGAAATGTGGAAAACTGGATGTATGCGAGCTGTAAGAGGGAGTTCCAGCTTGTATGCAACTTTCCTGACTTGCTCTATGACTTTAAATGGTCCATAGAAACGCGGTCTGAGCTTCTCATTGAGCCTTTTAGCTAAGGATCTCAACCTGTAGGGTCTGAGCTTGACATAAACCAAATCACCAATGTCCAGCTGCACATCTCTTCTGTGTTTGTTTGCTTGCTCCTTCATTTTTTTTGTGCCAAAGTGAGGTTGTCCTTTAAGATGGCAATAATGCAATTGCGGGACTGAATTTGTTCGTTGACAGCTTCAATACCTGATGGTTCATCATTCATTTTAAAGAAAGTAGGAGGGTCTCTCCCATACACTACTTTAAAAGGTGTCATGCCGGCAGCTCCATGATAAGAGGTGTTGTACCAATACTCTGCCCAAGGCAACCATTGCACCCATTGAGTTGGTTTCTCATTGGTGAAGCAATGCAAATAAGTTTCCAAGCCCTGATTTAAAACTTCTGTTTGGCCATTGGATTCTGGGTGGTAAGCGGAGCTAAGACAAAGTTGAGTGCCGGCTTGCTTAAACAATTCTTTCCAAAACTGGCTAACAAACACCCTATCTCTATCTGATACAATGGTTTTTGGAAACCCATGCAATTTTACAATGTCATTGACAAATCTGTCAGCTACCTCTTTTGCTGTAAATAGGTGTGCCAAAGCCAAGAAGTGGGCATATTTTCTCAATCTATCAACAACAACAAGAATGACATCATATCTTTTGGATTTTGGAAGTCCCATGATGAAATCTATGCTAATATCCTCCTAAACTTGTTGAGGAATTGGCAAGGGTTGCAACAGTCCAGCCGGGGTTAAAGCTTGATACTTGTTTTTTTGGCACACGTCACAATGAGAAACATACAATTGTATATCTTTTTTCATGCCCTCCCAATACACCACAGCGGAGAGCCTCTTGTAAGTGCGCAAATAACCCGAATGACCCCCTGTTGGCGAATCATGAAATTCCTTCATTAGTAGGGGAATTCTAGTAGACTTCTTTGGTAGCACCAATCGTCCCTTGTAGTGTAAACAACCCTTCACCAGGCTGTACCCCTCCAAACTCCCTGGTCTGGTGATGACTTGTTGCATTATATTATGCAACTTAGGGTCGACTTGCACTTCTTTCTCCCACTCTTCAAGGTCATCATGTTACCACAGGGAAAATCCATGCAGCTCCAGATTTTCTTCTTTTCTGGAGAGTGCATCTGCTGCACGATTTTCCTTGCCCAGTTTGTAGACTATCTCAAACTTGAATCCCATCAGTTTGGTGACCCAGTGCTGCTAACTCTCTTCGACAATTCTCTGCTCCAGCAAATACTTCAAGGCTTTTTGATCTGTTCGGATGACAAATTTCTGCCCCCATAGGTAATGCCGCCATTTTTTGACAGCCATAACAATGGCCATAAGTTCCCTCTCATAAACGGAGCATTGTTGAGCCCGGTTAGAGAGTTTTTGACTGTAAAATGCCACTGGGTGGCCATTTTGCATCAGCACCGCTCCTATCCCAGACCCAAAAGCGTCTGTTTCCAACTCGAACAGGGCAAAAAAATCAGGCATGGCTAGCACTGGGAGAGAAGTCATGGCTGTCTTGAGGTTTTGGAATGCCTCTTCAGCTTTTGGAGTCCATTTAAATGCATCTTTTTTGAGTAAATCAGTAAGAGGGCTGGCTATTTTCCCATAATTCTTGACAAATCGTATATAATACCCCGTCAACCCTAGAAAACCTCTTAAGGATTTCACATTCTTGGGTTTTGGCCATTGCACCATACTCTCAATTTTGCTGGGATCTGCTTACACCCCCTCCTTAGAAATAATATGGCCAAGATATTCAATTCTTGGTTGGGCAAAAGTACATTTCTTAAGGTTAATCACTAGCTGGTTTTCTTTTAGAATAGACAAAACAACTTTCAAATGTTTCAAGTGAGTTGTCAAGTCATGGCTGTAAATAAGTATATCATCAAAAAACACAAGCACAAATTTTCGTAGATGCTCACGAAATATCTCATTCATTAAAGATTGGAAGGTGGAAGGAGCATTGGTTAGACCAAAGGGTATTACCTTGAATTCATAATGTCCCTCATGGGTTCTAAATGCTGTTTTCGGTTCATCTCCAGCCATAATTCTGATCTGATGATATCCAGATTTCAAATCCAGCTTGGTGAACATGGCAGCTCCTTTCAATTCATCCAACAATTCATCAATAGCTGGTATGGGAAACTTATCCGGCACCATGATTTTATTCAAGGCTCTATAATCCACACAGAATCTCCAACTCCCATCTTTTTTTTTTTCTGACTAACAAGACTGGGCTAGAGTAGGGACTTTGACTAGGCTGAATGATACCCGCCTTCAACATATCTTTCACCATTTTCTCGATTTCATTTTTTTGAGCATGAGGGTACCGATAAGGTCTTATGTTAGGGGGATGCTCTCCGGGTTTGATGGCTATTGCATGATCATGAGAACGAGTTGGTGGTAACCCTTCAAAGGGTTGGCAAACTGCAAAGAATTGATCTAAGAGGTTCTGAATTTCAGGTGCCAATTCTGGAGTTACAGGTGTTGCTTCTTCGGTTCTTATCCCACTATATTCAATCATGTACCCTTCTCCCTTCTTCTGAATGGATCGCATAAGTGATTTAAAAGAAACCAAAGTCTTGGTTAAAGTTGGATCACCTCGTAAACATACCTTGTTACTCTTCTTACCAATCTTCATAGTCAGTTGTCCCCAATTTACCCTCACTTCTCCCAATGATTTTAACCACTCGACACCTAGAACGACGTCCACGCCACTGAGTGGAAAAGGATAGAAAGTTTGAATAATGTTCAAACCTTGTACTTGCAGCTTGAGGTCACTACAGCGTTGCTTCCCTCTAAAACTGAACCCGTCCCTAACAGTGATCGAGTAAACAGCAATTTCCGCTACTGGGATTTTGGCTCTACTGATTAAGTCTTCAGCGATGAAGTTATGAGTGGCCCCACTGTCAATTAAGATCACAATTTCAGCCTTTTCTAGTTCCCCACGCACCTTCATCGTATGATTTCCTCCAAATCCAACAATGGAGTTTAGTGATAACTCCATCCTAGTAGTGTAGTCTTCCACCTCTTCACTATCCTCAATCTCCACTGGTTCATGGTTTTCGGCCCCCTTTTCAGTTTATAATTCCAGCAACATAACTTGCATATTTCTGTTCTTGCAGACGTGATTAGGCCCGAACTTCTCAGCACATTTGAAGCACAAGCCAAGCTCTCGTCGTCTAGCCAATTCTGCATCAGAAAGTCGTTGAGTTCGTCCTCCCAGTCGAGTCGATGCTGGTCCAGGCGCGTTACTTCCCACTCTCGAGTCAGTCGTCTTTGTCTCTGTCCATTTCTGGGCTCCTAAATTCGCAAGCATTAGGGGAGTGTGCATGTATTTTCTGGGCTCATGTACATGGGTTACCCTTGTGTAAGAGGTTTGGGCTGAATCATTTCTAGGCCCACTTGGAAGACGTTGGGCCCGGGAAGCATGTGAGTCTTTGGCCTTTTCAACCATCTGATTCCTCTCATCCACCCTAATCGACATCTCCATGATCTCCAGTAGAGTTGCTGCGGTCGTTAGCTTCAGCTCGGCTCGGACTTCCGGCTTCAACCCAGTTCTGAATGCTCCGACCAAGCAAGCCTCCGACGCGTCATTCACCATGGCTGATACTTGCTCAAACTCTTCCACGTATTCACGTGTAGAGCCTTCTTGCTTCACGGCTAGCATCATCTCGTACTCGTCCCCCATTTGTGATGGATGAAACCGGCACAATAGCTCACTCTTAAACTCAGACCACATTCGGACAAGGGCTCTGGTTTCAACCCATTGATACCAATTCAGAGCTTTTCCTTCCAAACAGACAGTTGCTGCGTCCATTCGTTCTGTTTCGGCCACTGAGTTTATTCTAAAGTACCTCTCCACTCGAAACAGCCAGCCAATGGGGTCCTCCCCATCGAAAATGGGTAACTCAAGTTTTCTGTACTTCCCTCCTTCTTTCTCATGGTCTCCTGTACTTCCAATAGTTTCTTCATGGCTGGGTTGCTCTTGTTCGTGGTTGTCAAGCGCCCGTTTTTGCTTTTCCATTAATTGATCCAATGTTCCTTGCATCTTCTGCATCATGTCTTTCATTAAGGTCATGTCTTTTGACAAAACACCTACCGTCTCCTTTAGCTCTTGTACTTCTGGATCAGCATAATGTACTCCCTCTGCCATATCTTCCACTTAAATGGTCCTTGGTCCAAGGATTGCACTGCTCGGATGCCAATTGATAGGTACCTAAGTAGGATGGGGAACCCTACCTCAAAAGCTAGCTGTTGAAGTGGGAGAACTAACCCACTTATATACCCCATTGAGCATCCCATACTACTCAATGTGGGACTTGGTATCCCATACTACCAAGTCTCTATCATACTTCATCAAGTTGCATGACAAGGACTCTCCTGAATTAAAAGTATACAGCGTATGCAATTTCATAACAGCATGTACCTTGAAATTTCGTCTCCAAGAACTTGAGAAGTAAGGATTTGAACTGTTCATTGATCCTTCTATGATAACTTGGACGCTCATCATTTTCCCAATTTCAGCAACTAGTTTCTTGCTCTAAAAAAATGAAAGAAAAGAAAAGAAAAAAGAGATTGGGGCTCCAGATTCACAAGTGAAGATCTTCAATGTTCCAGCAACAAATACCTCCACAAATCCAGGCTCAAACCGGTAATTTTCAGCCACAGCCCAAATTAAATTGCTAGGAACATCGAGAGAAAAAGATTTGTAGTTATGTATTGCAGTTTCCAACTCACTTGAACCTGCAATTTTAACTGTGCTTAAGCTTATGAATTTCATAAAGCATGTAAAAATATTGACGTCATGTTTATATTCTTTACTGAAGATGAAAATAATATGTACTAACAAATCTTACAAGACTAATGAAACAAGATAGTCAACAATTTCCATTCTACAGTGAGGGATGGAAGTGAGTATCAACTAAAATTGAAGTTCGCAATGCCAAAATTTTGTTCTCCAGCTTGATTTTCAACCAGATATTTGACTCCTAAATGTAAATAGGGATGACTGAGACATTCAACAATGCATCACTGTATTTCTCTCTCGCTTTTGAATTATTCCTTGATTTTTTTTATTGTCAGTAAATAATAGTATTCTTCCATATTTCCTCTCCAACTACTGCTAGACAGCTGAAACAAATATTCAATGTTTTTAGTCAAGAAAAAATAATGGCATGTCTATAATCTACATTTAGTTTAGGAAGACAATAAAAAGGAAATAAAAGTAGATTTAGCATGGGACAAACATAACGCTCAATTTTATATGACTGTATAAAAGCTATCATGAAATGCTACTTACAAGCTGCCGCTGGTTTCTCTTCAGATCCACCAAATTCGTCCCATGCAAATAACATTTCCAAAGAAACATGAAATTTTAATCAATTGATAGAATTATTTAAATAAAATTATCATCAGATATCAGCGCATTAGAATACAGTGAAGTGGCTAGGCAAGTGGTTTGCATACTCAACTAACATTTTTCTCTGAAAGAGAGAAACTGGCAAATCAACCATGTAGAAATACTTTACTTTTAAAACAATCATTACCTTGAAGTACATGTTTTCCAGCCCTTAGCATCCTCAGTGACATGTCAACCTTCATAAATTGATTGTGTGAGAAATAACTCAAAAAATTGTAAGTCCAGCAGAATTCAGGCAAAATAAATCCAACTTGTCCAACTATTCTATATTTGACTTCTTGGATCAATATCCATCAATAAGTTTTGCCGCAGTTTTTTCTCATGTAGCTTCACCAGATTTGGATCTCAAAGCACACGAATAATCAGGAACAGATAGTTGCCTTGTAATGTCACCGAGACACATGCACATATTTTGTAAGAAAACAACTGAATACAAATTGTGACTTTTTAAGAATTCAAGCTCCCCCCCCCCCCCCCAAAAAAAAAAAAGGTCATTCAGGTCTAATTATTCCATATTGACCCATACCTAGCCATCAATAAGTTTGAACATGGTTATTCGTAGCCAAACTTCATCAAATTTGGTTCTATTGCAGAAAATGAACAATTAGCATTCAAGAGTAGATAATATTTCATAGCAACTTCACAAAGATATGGCAGATAAGGAAGCACAGTTTCTTTTCATGTTTAATTCTCATGCTAAAGATAATATAGGGAGGAAGCTTAAATGAGCATAATGCCAGTAAATAATACTCGCATGCTAAAGAAAAATGAAAATGCTTGAGTGCTGTTAGATGTTTGGAAACTTTTTTCTTTTATAGGTATAAACCCTTAACTTCAACCCACACCCCACCCCACATTTACCAACTGAGGTTGCCCTAGGTGCTAGATGTTCAAAAATTTAATGATGCAATTAAAAAAATAAGTTGCGCTAGATAGAGTCATTCATGGCCCACAATGCTAATTTCAGTTATTGACCCCAAATTATTCATTTCAACTTTCATAATTAAAACATTGGTGGGCATCCATTGCAGGAATTTCAAATCCTTTCATAAGATGCTGTACAGTCTCAGTCTGCAAGAATAGTAACTTAATAGTGGCTACAATTCATAAAATTTCAGGGAGCTGCATCTGGAATTTCAAGAAGCAGCTTCTAACAGTTAAATTACGAAGACACCTAATCCACAAATATGAGCCATGTTCCTGAACACAAGAATGCATAGCAGATCATACATCTAGATCTAGAATCCATCTGTCCAGTAGCCATTCACGAATGCCAATTCTTTTTATGATCTATATGTGAATTTACATAAATAGATGAGAGAAACCAAGGGTGGGAGGGAAACCTGAGTTTGTCCAGCCAATACCACAGCAACTGCAGTAATTGATACATCTTTGATGATCTCATCAAGACCCCCATCTCCCCACCTACATTCCAACCCAGGAAAATGTTTCTGAGCTATTTCTACTGCACCTCTTGCCGATTCCTGTGAAGAAAAGGGCACCATAATAAGAAGATTACTTTACTGGTAACCTCCCTCTCTGACTGGCTTTTTGCAGGTCTCAAAAGAAGTTCAAAATTATCTTTATGCAGACATTTAAGAGAAAGAAAACAAATATGTTTTACTTACAGGGAAAAATAAAATAAAGGTTACAACATGAACCCTCAAGGTCGATTATGGTATTAAAAAGGTTCCTGAAAAGATATTTTTATGAGCTTAGATTCAAGGTGAGCTGTGGGAAAGGGGAAAATACTCATGAAAATACTTTCCAGAATATGTTAGAGTAATTATGATGTAACCCTGCTGTTCAGCAGGTAAAAAAAATGCAGAAATATAACAATAACACAACCAACAGATCAAGGGAAATGCTGAGGTTTGATATTAATATCTCCAAAAGGAAAATCAGTGTTTCAAGGGCACTTCACTGATTTAGAACAAACCCTATTCCCTGTTACAACCAAAATACTCAAACAACAACTACAAAACAAGAACAACAAGAGCACTGCAATGCTAACTAAGCATGTTCTTTGGTTTTCAAGAGCCAGTCTCTCCTCTTGCCAAATATAAAAGTATTACCCCCTCCAAATGACATTAGCGACTACTATAACCCAAAAGCAACTTGCACAGTTTCCCACACCACTGTCTACTAAGGCAGACCTAAAACCATCCTAAGTCAATGCTAATTCTGCCTAGCTTTCTCCTTAAGAGTAAGGAGAGCAAGGTCAACATTCTGCCCCATAGAAAGATGCTTTCCCTTTTCTTGTATTTTCCTATATTTCCTGTTGTAGGTTTTTCCAGCAAAGTAGAGTCTATCAAATTATTAGTTTTACATTAATCAAATTTTAACACCATTGATTATTATACAATATTAAAAGGGGAAAAAATCATTCTTACCCTCCTATTAAAGTATTAACGGAGAAGAATTTTCTTGTCCAATCACAGAAAAATTTCTACTAGGTTCATCGCATGTATAGTTCATGAAAATGGAAAAGATGACGAAAATTAAATACGTGTTCCTGTTCTTGTGTCCACGAATAAACAACTTCATTAGTCTAAAATTTCAAATAGAAACAAAAGATTGGCATAAAGCTTCCCAACTTGTACTCTTCCGGTCAAGTCCAGCTTCAGATCAAATGGTTTTATGGGATGACCGAATGACAAACTAGTTTCAGAAATAAAACCATAGTTTTCCCTCCTTTGTCGGCAATGGAAAATCGACCAGCTTTGGTCGTCAAACAAATTCCAGAGCTAGCCCGCCCATAATATTGTTGTTTTGCAGAACAGGAAGTAAATATAATGGAAACAGAGTAACAAAGGATTTTGCTGCGTGCTACACTATTAGTATGATAGCTGAACAACGTTTCACTCTGAATCAAAATTTGTGAGAAATGTTGGTTGTACAAGAAAATTAAGCGCAGCTAGAACTTCAATTCTTGTTTCAATTAGTACAAGTTTTAGTGAGAATCGAGCATTTCTGTTTTAAAGAAAAGCAGTACCTCGGTACGGCTCCAGATGGCTTTTACAAGAACGAGACCAGAGATCTCAGAGAGTCTGGGAATGTACTGAGTCCTTACAAACGTACCAGCGCCCAAAATGGCGATCTGCAGTGGCTTTGTCGCCATTTCCGATTGGAAGATATGAAATGATCCAACAATTCTGTAAATAAAAATTTAAATCTCGCCGCGCTCCTTCAGATTTGGCGTAGGCTTTTTTTTTTTTTTTTTTCAATTTGCCACAAAGATTTGGCATAGCTTTTATAAGTTTATTCAGGCGTGTGGGGGATGATGCTGACTGAGAGACGGGCGTGTTTTTTTTTTTTTTTAATAAATTACCCGCATAAGAAAAAGAAACTTGCGCCAACAGTCATGAATCTGTTAGGGCCTGAACAATATGTCACTAATTGGATTGGAGCTCAACCTGACAAGAACAAATCCGCTTAACAGGAAGTTTAACAAATCACATTTAAAATTCCGATGAATTGAAGTTCCCGTCAACTTCTATGGATCAGCTATTTACCAATTAAATGAGCTGGACAATGTAACAATGTCATTTAATAAGTACATCATGCCAAACCCATATAGCTCATCCGTCTCATCGTCTAGTGTATCACATGAGATAAGAAAAGGAAATTATAACAACAGTAGTTTGAAAGATAGACCTCTATGGTGAAATAGAATGGGAAAACCAAAAAGATAGACCTCTTAAGATCAAAGGCTTGATTTAACAATAGTTAACCACAAGCTTGCTACAAACAGTCCAGTCCATAGAGCACTTAGGAACATTTTGTTTGGGACAAAAAGTCCGGAATAACACTATCGTTAATGTAAGACCACCAAAAATTATACAAGAAAACAAATCAAGTCATATTAAAAATTGAAAAATATTGTATGCCTCGTAAATAAATTCTTGAAAATCGTGGTGTCCAAATTATTATTGGTAGCTTGACCAGCAAACTAATAAACGCTACTAAATTCATTGCGTTTGCTTAAAAATGTGAAGTTACAAGAATTGTTCCTCCTTGTACTATAATACTATGATACAAGTTTAAACTTGAAACTTGGCAAATCAAGTCTTCTTTTGCTTGTGTTATTGAATGACTCTGAAGACAAATAACGGAGCACGCAAGTCAATCGTCTTATTTTCAGCTTCAAGGGACTGAATATATATTGCTTCCCTGGGTTCCTCGCTAACTCCACTTTGAGTGGCATACTCCAATGCCATTTCATAGTCCACCTGCATCCACCATATAAACGAAGTTGTAAAATTCGAGCGCCTTCCCCCGGAGCCACACCCCGTTCCTTTTTTCTTTCATTCCTAATTATGAGAGAATAAAAATCCCAAAGCAGTACTACTTAAGGATCCAAATGGTGTTGTGCACGTAGTCGTATCTTTCCCAGTCATCCACGAAGGTTCCTCTATCACGCATAAATATAACTAAGGCCTTTTTTTTTTTTTGGTTATAAGGCCACAACAAAACTGTACAAAAAAATTAAGATCTAATCATATCTAAAACCATGAAGTTTTTACATTCATATAGTGGAACATCAAAAATCATAATATTAAAAGTATCATATGGTCACCAATGAGTTAAGAAATCAACATATCTATTTACTTCCCAATAAATTTGATCAAAGTTGACCCCAATTTTTTATAACAAGTTCTCTGATCTAAATTCTGGCCACTTTTATAGCTCGTAAAATAACCCCTCATAGCTGTTTCCTCAGCACATGACATCCACGCACAATTTTCATCTACCCAAGGCCCAAGATACCCTTTGGTTTGTAATTTGAAATGAAGCTTTTATTTTTCGGCATACGTTTCACTAAGTAACATACCTGTTCAACATGTTTAGCAAGCTTTTCACTCAATGTTTCTTTAGTAATTAAACCAGTAGATACTTTTCTCAGAAGTTCCATATTGCCATCAGTGAGACGACTTTTCTTTGATGCATGTAACTGCGCCATTTCTTTCAAAATATTGTAGACTGCACCAGTAGCATCTGGAATGTACCTGCCAATTTCTAGAAATTACTTTTCATTTCAAACAAAAATAAAGTAAAGCATCAATCAATTGATTCCTGCAATTCTGAGAGACGAAAAATACATCAGCATACTTGCTTAGATTTCGTTTCCTCTCCTGCTGCTCTCGAGCCTGCATCTTTTTCACTATCTTGGATTTTAATTGGACGCAACACTGCTGAATAGCATACTAAATAGATGGTATAGTTAGCTTACAGCTTACATCTTATTATTATAAACCTAGTTATTAACTGAAATCCTAGTTCATAAGCTTCCAACCTTAACAGCAGAAGCAATCTCAGTTATGTCATCTCCAATGTATTCCTTTCCAGTCCCTTTGAAGGGAATTTTTGTGCTCACAACACTTACGAAAACACCAATCTTATCTTGCATCTGGTTGATTTTGTAACTGCTCCAGCTGAAAAGATATTCAATAAGATTTTCTATACCAAGTGATTGACAAAAATGACTTCAACTAAGTTAAAACTAAAAATAAAGTGAAAGCCCATTATCAGTTTAATTAATATGTCTATTGCACCTTATATATATATATAATACACCCGTCAAATGAGGCCCTCTGAGCTTGGAGTATGGCAGATGAAACACAAATATAATTTTAACTAAGAGAGGGAACAGCGGGAGTTGAACTCCTGATCCATTGATGAGAGAAGCACGTGATTTGTTTTATTAAAATTTCTTGTAGTCCATTTGATTACAAGCATGGAAAGGGATCCTATTTTCATCCTTTCTGCACTATTTAATATGCCCTTCCCAATAAACAATAAGAGCACGAGGATATTTCTCATCTTCAAAAACTTTTTTTCGTTGTCATTTATTCTATGATTTTCTAAGTCTCAAATGAGCCTTAACAACGATATTATAATAAAACTACAAGATATATTTGAGGGGATAACAAGAGCTAAAAAACTAGGGTTGCAAAGATGAGCATTTAAGGTGGATGTGGGGTCATACAAGAAAAGATAAGATCTGTAATGATTATATATGAGGAAAAGTTGGCATGAAATTTATCACGAAGAAAATGATAGAAAATCATTCAAGGTGGTTGGTACATGTGTAAGGAGGGCAATAAAATCGTCAATATGACAGTTGAGCAGATTGTCTTTAGCCCAATAAGAAAATATAGAGGACCAAGAAAGACACTCGAGGAAGTTATCAATCAAAATTTTTGGAGGAATGACATATCTAAAGAATTGGTTGCTGATAGAACACAATGTTGTCATGTGATCCATGTAGCTAACCTAACTAAGTGAGACAGGGTTTGTTGTTGTTCCCTCCTAAAATAACAAAATAAATTAACAAAAGCACAATTTGCTTTTGTTTACACTTACTTGATTCTCTTCATTGCAGTCCTGGTGACAACATCAGCACCTTGCTCAAAAAGCAAGGGAATCCTATTTGCAAATCGAAATATATTCAGACCCTAGAAACACGAAGTATTAATTTCATGACTGATGATCTACTATATGAGAAGAGAATAAAACATCACTCTCTAACAAGCACTTGATACTTCTTTAATGAATATATCTATATATCTATATCTATATTATATATAATATAAAATCCATAAGAAGCAACACTACTCATAAGCCATGAAAAGTAGGCACACACCTAGTTGGCTTAATTCCAGTTTATGTTATAAAAGTAAGCATAGAACATTCATGAAAAGAGCAACCAAAGAATTTGTGGTTAGTCGCTTTGCAATATATTTACCACAAACAGTCCCAGCATTTACTCTTTCGAGATAAAATGAGCCCTTTACCAATCCACCAGAAAAGAAACCTTGATAACAGGTATTAAAGTAATCATTGACCTTGACTCTTCTTATCTTTGCTTATTATAATACCATTTATACTTACAGAAAAGAACTGTTAAGAAAAATAATTTCAACATTATTTTCAAGATATAAATATTTGCAGAAGGGAATTTACTTGCTTGACATCTTTTCCGCCTACACTAACCCCAGCTTCAACAATGAATGGGTGGCCTTCAAATACTTGGGCACTGTGCAAGTAGCAAGAATAGAAAATTAGTTTTTGGGGAACAGGAATCGTTTACTGCTAGAAAAGGAAAGCTGATGGAACCCTCTACTCTATTAAGCTTAAAAATAAGCAAAACCAGAAAATACACTGTAAATGTAACTAACAATTACTATTGCTGAACAATAGAGTGGGATTACAATCAAAATAAAGACTGAAATTACACTGAAATGGCAATTACAGAGCATGAAACAACATAAACTATACCCTCTAAGCAGCAACACGGACATTGGTCCCTCACAAACACAAGCTGAAGTAGAAAGATAAAATGATGAAGAAAAGATAATCTTCTCCACCCCTAATCTGGCATTCGAGAGGCCAGAACTCTCCTCACTTGACCACAATTCTCCAATAGTCCCTCCTCATCCCTCATCACGGAAGTACATATTTAAAGAGTCAAAAAGTAGTCATTACCCCTGCTGACACTACCCATACCCTAGGCTGCACCTAACCTGACTTTTCTTTTATTATTTGAATCTTACAGTTATAAACCTTCAAATAAACCTCTTGACCACTGGTCTTAGTCTTCTTTAAATCACCTCGCTGCCTAGATTGTCTACTGTAAGCCTTAGGAAATGACAGGAAAATCTTTTGGGAATCACCAGCTCTATCAAAAGCACAAAACTAAGATTAAGAATCCCAAGTGGAGACATGTGGCCAAACAGCATCCTTGTTTCTTTTAGGATTGTCAACAATGGAAATAGACACAGCGAGCAAGTTAAATACCATTCATCCACAAGGATCAAAATTATGTCAATTACAGATAAAAATACTTATAGGAAGAAATAAAAGATAGTTCTGGCAAAACTTTGACACTAAAATCACAACCTGCCTGAATAGGTTGCAACCATGTCCGGGTGCAGCTCTTTTATGATTCCCAGGCGAAGATTGTATTCACCAGCAGGACTAAGACACTGAAACGCATGTTTACCACAATGCCATTGTCAAATCACACTAGTAAGGAGTATGAGATAAATTAAGGAAAAGGCATAACACAACATATGGTTTGTGTTACAGACTAAATAACTTACATCACCACTGGGATCATCAAACTTAGCTTGACGAAGCAACTGATGGATGCGTACTATCTGCTGAGAAGTTAAAGACTTCACAGCCATTTTTAGGCTAAAATCAGGACCCATCTCACCTGGTTTGGAGATAGAGAGAATAGAAAATAGCTCAAGTAATGAGCATCTGTATCATTCACGATCAAAAATCAAGTGACTAAATGAACATATGCTCTAAATACATCTGATCTCGGGTACAACGAACTATTGACAGAAACCCAAAATACAAAAGCATCTTTTATGAGCCTCAGTTACCCACAAAAAAAAAAAATGCAAAGTTGCCATAAAGGATGCAACTTGTTGTCAATCAATTACAAGTAAAGGCAATTCATGTTAATGAACATGCTTTTAGTCACTCCCACCGCTCAATATCATCAAATTAGGTGAAACATGAGAGATATTATAGTTTTATAGATATTGTATGGTTGTTGTGAATTTAAATAGACAAAACAGGGGAGCAAAACTGAGTCTAAGAAGACAATACCAAACGATAGCTAACCAAATGGCAACATTCTACACAATTTACAATAGATGATATGAAGTGAAAGAATATAAAAGATGGCACAATATGCATGAATGGATAAATTGGTGTTCTTCTGCTTAATAAGATAGAGTACTTTAATTATTTTCATTTATTCCATAGAACATAATATTCCAGGAAATTCAATAACCATCAGAGATCTATCACATTCTGAGACTGCACAGATTGATTCCCTGCCTTACCAAATTAAAGCGAGGAACAAGCACTATAAATAAGCAGGAAGCATAAAGATCTATGAACTTGTGCCTTAAGATCCCAACTTTTTTTTACCTATCAATCTTTCAGCATAGGATTTGCTAATGTTCACAAATTCATGCTGCAGAAACTGCAAAAGGTTCTGCTTTGAAGTTTCAGCAATAAGTCGTTTAATTAGAAGCAGATCAACAGATGATGGATGATGCTTTGTCTCCAGAGGAACCGGTGGCATTACATCTGTTCTCCGAGCAAACCTTATAGTGACATTCTTGCTGCCCAAGAGAAGACCTAGTATGAGATAATAGTGCATAGTTGTAACTGGCGAGAAAATCTTACCAGAGACAGACATACTCAGGTGCATCGGACACAAATTTAAATAGAAACTGTGCGTAAGGAGTGATAACGGCCATTTGTCTCATGTAATGCAATATTTTTGACTGCAAATGAAAAGGAAGGAGCTTATATGTACAGATCAACACTATCAATGGTCCCCCAAGTAAAATACATCAGCATGATAAAATATAATTTGGAAATCTGAAATGTTAAATAATATCTAAAATCTGCAGTTAAATAACTAAATTTTGTCCCAACTAAGTATTACATACACGATAAGTTGTCCAGTTTCCCTCTATGACCACTTGAATTTCAGCTCCATGCCAGCGATCTTTGCTCTCCTGTTTTTCATGTAAATGCACATGTGGAATGTTCCTGAAAATTAAAGCATTTTCTATTATGCTGAGGGGGAGTTGAAATATAAAGTGATTTTTAATAACTTTTTCACTTTAATGATAGATTGCGAAAACTTAAAATCATACCGATGAATGTCTATATCCAGCCTGCAAAACGAAGTATAACTTTGGTTTCTCATTGATGACAAGATTTCAATAGGAAGCCCAGTGCTCATTTTAGACCATATTAGAGCCTGCAAATATGAATAATACAGTAACACATACCAATAAAGACAACCAGGACATGTCAACTACCCAAATATACATATAGCATATCGCCAATACCATCTTTGCACCAAGACCAAATTTTCCTCGCGTCTGCTTTAAGCCATATTTTGTCCCAGAAAGAACTGCATGAATAGGTATGTTGAAAGCATTCTCAAAGTAGTATAAAAAAATCTAGTGCCTAGACAACTTATTTTCACAGCAATTGACTTGGGAAGCAACTGACAGACCCCGGCCAAACATATTTGGGATGTCATCATGTGGCATTCCTTTTCCATTATCCTGCAATAAGTTTCTGGCGTGAGTCCGTCTTTAAGTCAATTGCAGGAAAGATATTAATGAGGAAATAACCGTTAAGAAACTCAAATTGGAATTCGAAAGGATATTAAATAGATTTATCAACGAGAGAGGTGTTTGGATATATTTCTCACAAAACTATGATATTAGGCTTCAAAATAGATTTTAAAAGGTATCCAAACAGGCACTAGCATATAGATAATAAATCATGACATTAACACAGTACCACAAAAGAAATCTTAGGATAATAACCGTACATACCTTGCATGTAACCCTGTAAAAAGAAGCCTCACCTCGACCCTTAATTCCCTTCGAAGCTACAGGCTCTTTCACTTTCTTTCGAAGGGCAGCATTCTTTGTTTGTATTTCTTGAGCACGAGCCTCCTTCGCTAACCGTTTCTGCATGGAAAAGTATAGCACAAAACTGAACGAATACGAAGAGCCTTCAAGGTAAAATCAACAGCCATAAACAAATGAACAGCTTCTTAGTCCACCCAATCGATACAAATAATGTGTGTAAAACAAGACACCAGAAGCAAAGCATGGATATGGCGTTATGCAATCAAAATTTGAAAATCTAATAGAAAATCAAATCCTGCCCGAAAATAGAGTACAATTCTGACTTTTGGCGATGGTATTAATCTAACACAGTGAAAGTAACAAGAAATTCACAGTAAGAGGAAACACACCTCACGAGCCTTGTCAGTTTCATAATCATCATATAATTCTGCATCAATCCGTTCACGGTCAACAAGTCCAATCAAAGAATTAAATTTGCTTTTCCCTATCTCCTCACTGCAAGAACCGAGACCATGTGACATATGGTTTATGGATTCATAAAAGAAGATAGCTTAAAACTAAGGGACAGTGTTATGAATGCATATTTTACTGGCGCCGATATGAACGGAGGTGATCAGTACATGCATGTCAGCCTGCTCAATTAATCTACACGTTCATAATATTTTTTCTGCTTGCACGGAATGCATACTTACATAATTATTTCAACAACGGGAAGCTCAGATATAGATTCTGCTGAGTCAAGGGAATTCTCAACAAGCTCTCTGACAGTGGTATATAGGCATTTTCCAGGCTGAAATCCACATAACTTCAATAAGGAAAAAGAATGTACATACAAGAACGAGCGCGCGAAAACGCCACCGAAATATAGATTAAAGAGCGTAATCACTTGCGCTGTTGTGTGCGCGTCTGTCCGGTGACATGGAATGCATCATCGTCTTCACTGCCGATTTTTTTTCGTTTTATTATTTTTTTGAAGCAAAGTTTAATGTTAATAGTCAAACAAAGCAACTTATCCAGAGAAATTGACGACGCCGCAAATAATCCAGAGCAAAACCTAACAAAAGAAAAGAGGGAAATGCAAAATCATGCTTACATTATCAAATCCAGCTATATTTTTGTTCTCTGCGAAGAACTCAGCCGGAGATTCTAGGAAAGAGAAAATCAGAAGAAAATGTCAAAGGAAAGATAGAAGTTAAGAATGCAGCGATAAGAAACGCTGATATGGATAGGGAGACATACTCTGCTTCAGAAGGCTCTCCTTTGTTTTTCGGGGGGTCTTGGACTTGGTTTTGTTCGCCTCGCCTGGGCTTTCGCTGTCCATTTGAAGTGCCCAAAAATGGTACCCTAGAAACCTTAATTAACTAGATCTTGAGTGAAACGGAGGATTCAAAACTCAAAGCAGTCATCGACTAAATTGGAATAAGCTAGCTCTTGCAAGTTGCAAGACAAGAGACGACGGTACTAGCTTTTCCCGCCCCAACCTCTCCTTGCCGCTCCATCACCCTTCCTTTACGTCAACTTTTAGCTTAGCAGGTCGAGTTTTTTTTTTTTTTTTAATAAACCATCTGGTATTATACGATATTTTAAATTCATTGTCCGCCCCAAAACTAATTCAGAAACATTCGTGAGGAGACCTTATAATATTAACGAGGTATCAATAAGACGGTCTCTTTAAAATTATATTAATTATTACATCTGTTACTTTTTAAAATCCGAACCCTCACTTTAAAAAATATAAATAATAATCTTTACTAACTCTATCAAGCACTCATTGACTAGTAGGTCAAGTCTTGTTTGGCCATTGCACCACATTTTTTTTTTTTAATTTAAAGACACGTTATTACAATGTGCAGACGCTTTTGGGTTTTTTTTTATGTTTTTTAATTTTAAAATTTTATTTGGATAAATGTTTTTTAATTATTTTTAAAACTGCTTTCATTTTTTATTTTTAAAAACAAGCTATTTTTATTGTTTTTGAAATATTACGTATTATATATTTGATTATTAAAAATTACAGTTGCTTTAATTAATTTCTACTATTAATCATCATTATTAATTGTCTACAATCATCATTGTCAATTCATTTTTTAATTTTAAAACTATTTTTTAATTGACATAACTAAATGAATTTTTATTTTATTTTGTTTTAAACATTAATTTTAAAAACCATATCACAAAACAATTTTTAAAAATAAAAAATGGTAATAGAAACCAAACAAGCCCTTCATATCCCGTTTAATGATATTTTATGATATGGGTGTATTTGATCTAATCTATCTAATTCCAACTCTAATACATTTATAGTTAGCCTTTTCTCCGTGGTGTTGCAATTGTAAAAAATTCTAAATCCAAAACTTAAAATTTAGACTACTCATTCTAATTTAAATATAAAAAGTCTCGTTAGAACTTATTATAAAGACAACATTTTAAATGAGTGAGGATGAGAATAATGGCTGATTCAGCTCTAAAGAACTAACATAAAGTTGGTTCAACTCTAAATAGCTAACCTTTTATGAGCTCAAATTAAAAAGGATAGGACTCCAAGAGATTGTTTGGGGCTCCTGACTCAAAAATCTTAGTCTTGAAAGTTTAACCCTTATCGTGCCCCCATTTATAAAGTCTAACCCTTAATTTCATGGATTTAGGGTTGACTCTGTGAATCTCAAGCCTTTTTATATTTTTAATATTTTTTGTTATTTTAATTAAATATACAAAATAAATAGAATTAATTTTTCAATTTAAACCATAAACAATAACAAATTGAAGTGTCATACAATTGTCAACGATTAAATAAATCAAACTATTCTCCCCTTAGTCTCAGCGAGACAATAATATCTAATGGTTATGCAAAACATAGAGTTTAGAACCATATGCCAACACAAAATCTTAGTTAGAAATATTAACACAAATACTTGATGTTAATAACAAGGTGAGAGGATGTCTTAACAAGAAGTATACAACAATTCAAACATGCACTTTCAACAAAGGGGAGGGGATTCCCCCCCCCCCCCAACAGGAAATGGTTATGAGTAGTCACGTTTGGGCCGCAACAGTCAGGAGTTGAGGGAGAAGAAGGAACAAGTAATATTAGAGTAATTGGGCCTGTTGTCATGTTGGCATGAAGAGAAGATGGGGCTACAGGCTTGGAAAACGAGAGTCTAAGCCCATATTAAACCTGATTTTTTCAAAAATATCACATTTTTTATGTCTTAATTCTTCAAAAGATGTAGGGTCAGACCTGTAAACTCATTTTAAAAAATTAAAATATTATAACTTAATTAAAAGATTTTAAAAATTCCCAATAAATCTAACAAATCCAAATTCAAATGTGGGTGTGAGAGGGAGAGAAAGTTGTGTGTGGAAAAATGGAAGTGCGATGAAACTAAGAAGAGAATAATCACAAGGGCACAATCAACCCCCTGTTCTCTCCTTATGAAGCCAAACCTAACTAGCTCCCCTCAAATCTTTAATATTAGGTGGAAGCAAAATGCAAGTGATCGGTATTATTTTGTTGTAAAATTCAACCAAATTGCATGAAAGAACAAACTCATTTACACACTCGCAACCCACCATTGTCCTACTTACTTCTCGCTAGACCGCTTTTGACTGCATTCACCAATTAGAACACAACTAAAGACACAAAAACTATCAAAATCTAAAATTTCTGGCATGACGCGATGTGCTTCTGAAACATGGCCATTGAAGAATGAAGGGGGAAATGTGAATTTCTTTTAAGGTTTGAATTTGTGTCAATGAAAAAAGAATATAATGCAAGAGATTAAGAATATTCATAGATATGGTGAGAACATAACAAAAACAATGAAGTACAGAACACAAGTGCGACCATTTCTATTCGTCCAAGTTCTCCCCTTCTTTAGTCTTACTACGAAGTACCAGAACACGAGTGCGAGAACTAGAACAAACCCAGAAAATAAGCAACCAAGCACCATTATCTGAAAACTGAGAATTAGACATTGCGAGACAAGCACCCACTACTAGAATCAAACCGAGTAACGAGCACCCGCAACTATAATAACTTTGAAAATCAAAGATCAACCAAGCATGTGTTGTAAGGAAACACAAGACATCGAGGCACCTGAATACCTGAAGCAAGACTGCAAGAATCGTGACCGAGCACCTGAAGCCGAGAGCGATCAAGCAAGAAGAGACCTAGATCGTCAGCAAGGAGATAAGTAAGGAGAGAAGAGGCTGTCAGACCGACCGAGAAGGAGATTGCAACAGAGGAGATGCTGAGAGGAAGAGTTGAGTAGAGTTAGGAGAGGAGTGATCTTGAGGTGCGACAATCGAGTACCAAGCAAGTGTTTTCTTCCATCATGTGTGCAAACAGTGCTTTTTGAGGGGAAGCAAGAGAGAGAGAGAGGGAGGGAAGGACAGAGCGAGGGAGAACCTTAGAAGGTCACATGAGTCTAGGTCAGTTTTTCTAAGGCAGGATTGGACTTTGAAGCTCGATTGTCATAAAAATAATTAATTTTTTAAACCTAAATCTTTATAAAAAAAAAAGTGTCTAAATGGGCAACCTTTTAAGTTTAATTTTTATTCTCGACTCTAGCTATTAAAAAAGAAGTAAAAGTTAAAAGTATGAAATGAATGACGCTATGAAGATGATAAGAAATATCTATTTCTTAATAGAAGAGAAAATAACAAACTCAAATGATTTTAAAAAGTTGATCTATGAAAATAAAAAAAATTGAACTGAAATACCTTTGTAATCAATCAAATAAATTTGTGTTTGTTGAAACGTGTAATTTGATGTATAAAAACAAAAAACAATGACAGTTTCTCTACCCCAAGATTTAAGAAACGGACGGAGTACTCCATGGGATCCTCTAAAACGAGTGTAGTTATCGTGGTTGCTGGTTGGGCCAGCATATTCCCTCCCGAAGATATGACAAGACTTGAGTAACCTAGCATGCATGCACCCGCCCGCCTCCCACGCCCATCACCAAACACAACATCCTGTGGAATGGCCAGGACTTGTTTTCTGCACAATCACACATGCTTTTGCTGTTATTATTATCAATAACACTCCCTCCAGTCTTCCTACTCCCTCTTGTCCTGTTTAGAGCACAGAGAAAAAGAAGAATATTTTTAATTTTATTTATAAGTTATATTATTAAATTTTTATCATAAACTTTTTTTTTATCCTTCATTATATATTGAAGAGAAAAAATATATCATTGAAGGCATATACTTGATGAGGATAAGGTTGAAAACTTATTAAATTTTAAGACAGAGTTGATCAATTTTAAAGTTTTCCTTAATACTGATGAAATATGCTATAAATAACTTATAAATATGATCAAAGTAGTATTTCACAACTCTAGCAACATAACTAAAAGTAATTAATACTCTCACTTCCAAATTATAAAACAATAATTAAAACAAAATTATCCCCGTCAATTAATGAATTTACTTTTTTAAATAAAATTATAATTTTTAAAAATGTCTCTACACAAACAAAGGCAAACATCAACGCGAGGAAAGAGTGGCGCGTGAGGATGGGTAATTAGAGTTCGTCGGTCAGTGTGATGCGTGGCAGGCAGGGACCACGGAATCCGTGACCACTTTGGCTTACGTGTCAGCGTTACCTCTTGTCACCATCATTTCCATTTTCCTGTATATCCACGCTGAAATTTCTGATCTCCGTTTTGTCCTCTCCACTGATATTTCTCCGTCCCCCTCCATCATTTTCCTTTTCCTCATAACTTGGACCCCATTTCCAATGGCCTGCCTTTTAATTTTCCCCACTCGGAATATGCGTTCTCGGCTTCTCACAATTCTATGATAAACACACGCACTCCAAAATCATTTAGAATTTGTCAAACATCCCATCCACTGGTATCATCATAATTAATCACACGAACCAATCCTTTCATGTTATGCCCAACAAATATGTTGACATATACTCCTTTAATTTTATTTATAAATTATTTTTAATATATTTTATTAATATTAAAAAATTTAAATTTTGTTATTTTTATTTTAAAATTTAATAAATTTTAAATTTTATTTTTATCAAACATACATACTTCAATAATATATTTATTTTTAAAATAAATATAATAATAATTTTATAAAATATTAAATTTTAATTATTTAAAAATAAATTTAATAATTAAGATGAAAAGTAAAAAAAAGATGAAGAGAAGGTAAATCCATCAAAATACATACTTCGATCGGCCGAGCTCCTTGTAAAATGCGGGGATTCTTCTCACTTGAATTAATTATTAATTAGTTACGAAACAGTCCGTTGCGGATAAGGTTAGCGGCATCTTCTTCTTCTCTGTTCCGGAAACAGGACATTTCGTTGCGCGCGCGCGCGCGTCGCGTGTGTGTATTTTTTATTGCGTTTTTTGGTCTATGGGTCACGTTTATAAACGTGAAATATGATGAAAACAAAATGCAAATATCATTTTGCATGTGGCCATAAATTTCAGTCCTCCCCTAAACCTATTAAGGGTGTGTTTGAATGAAGGTACCCTCATTTGGTTTGAAATCTTTGGAAGGTGAGTAGCTAAATTTTTTAAATATTTTACCTTTATCTAATTTTTTTATTTCAATAGGCCCCTGGCTTAAAAAAAAACAAAACAAAACAAAACTTTCACCCTGCCACCCTCTTTGCATTCACAACCCAAGTGATTTTTTTCTTTCTTTTCGTTTTCTTAACATCTCTCTTATATTTTTTTTTCTATTACTTTTAATTTTTATAATATTCCTTATTGAATATTCCTCTAACTTATTTCTCCATCATCTCTATACATATTAACTAAATCACATGCACATTCTATCATCATTTTTATATTGTATATATCTTTTTATTTTTCACTTAATTTTTATTAAAACCAATGATAATGGCTGCAAAACATGAAATAAAAATAAAAATTGATGGGAGTGACACGCTTTTTATGGTGTGTG